ATTAAAAATCATGCTAATATAAATATTGTTGTACATGCCTTTTGGTGCATATATTTGTGCATTTCTGTTGGTATACACCCATAGTAGAATTGTTGGTTTATAAAAAACATACATGGTCTGCTTAGGTAGATGCCCCAAGCAGGATATGAGAGCCCCCACTGTTCCATATTCTATGCTTGGTATTCCCTATACCTCTTTACTTTAGCCATTCAGAAATGGGGGAATGGGAGGTGTGATCTTATTTTCCATTTCCTTAATTAATAATGATGTTGAGCTGTTTGGTATCATATTTTGTGAAGTATCTATCGAAGTTTTTGGCCTGTTTTTCAATTGAGTTGTCTATCTTTTTCTTAATGATTTGTAGGAATTTATTTTTTTCCCATGAGTTCTATGTGGTTTTTCTTATTTTATTTCATTTTATTTTAATTTTTAAAAAAATTTTGGAGTATTACGGGGCTACAAATGCTTTGGTTACATAAATTGCCTTTGCACCACCTGAGTCAGAGATACAAGTGTGCCCATTCCCCAGAGAGCACACTGCATCCGTTAGGTGTGAATTTACCCATCCCTTCCTCCCTGCTGCCCGACACCCTATGAATGTTACTTCCCATATGTGCACATCAGTGTTGATCAATTAGTAACAATTTAATGGTGGGTACATGTGGTATTTGTTTTTCTATTATTGTGATACTTCACTGAGAAGAATGGGCTCCAGCTCCATCCAGGGGAATGCAAGGGGTAGTTCATCATTTTTTTTATGGCTGAGTAGTACTCCATGGTACACATATACCACATTTTATTAATCCACTCATATATTGATGGGCACTTGGGTTGTTTTCACATCTTTGCAATTGTAAATTGTGCTGTATAAACATTCAAGTACAGATGTCTTTTTTTATAGAATGTCTTTTTTTCCTTTGGGTAGATACCCAGTAGTGGGATTGCTGGATCAAATGGTAGTTGTACTTCTAGTTCTTTGAGGTATCTCCATACTACTTTCCATAGAGGTTATACTAGTTTGCAGTCCCACCAGCAGCGTATGAGTGTTCTTATCTCTCCGCATCCACACCAACATTTGTTGATATGGGACTTTTTGATAAAAGCC